GAATTGAAAATGATCCATTTATTAAGAGCACAGATAGGAGGATAATTGCTATTGTTCATATGAGTTTGTGCTACTGCTCGGGGGTGTGGCATAGGGAGTGGAATTCATAGGCTTAGGGCTAGCGAGAGGGATAAGGTGGAGGCAATAATAAATAGGGTTGTGGAAGTGGCTAGGGGTCATAAAGGCTCTTTAATAAACAATTTTATTGCATCTGCGAATGGTCGGGGGATTCCGTAAGGTCCTGCAATGTTTGGTCCTTTCCGTAATTGTATGTAACCTTGGATTTTTCATTCTACTAAAGTGAGAAATGCTATGGAGATTAATACTGGTGCTAGGAGGGTTAGGATATTAATGAAATACACTATTAGGGAGAGGATTTGAACCCCTTGGGACAAGGTTTTAAGTCTTAAGCAATTTCCTGGCTCTGCCACCCTAATTGACCCCTTGTCTAGGGTACTTACTAAATTGAGATAATTTCATTAATTTTGGGGTGTTTTGGTTAAGGAGGCCCCATTTCTCTAGTCCTTTTGTACTGGGAGAAATAGTTAATAGATAGAAACCGACCTGTATTACTCCGGTATGAACTCAGATCACATAGGACTTTAATCGTAGAACAAACGAACCATTAATAGCTGCTACACAATTGGGAGGTCCTGATCCAACATCGAGGTCATAAACCCTAATTGTTGATATGGACTCTCGAATAGGATTGCGCTGTTATCCCTAGGGTAACTTGGTCCATTGATCAAAAAAAAAAATAGGTCAATTAGATTTTAGTTATTTTGACTTGTGAGTCTCAGGTAAAATCGTTTTGAGGTTGATTTATACTCCGAGGTCACCCCAACTGAAATTACTGGCTTATGTCTTGTTATTTGGTCCATTATGGTTATCAATAAATTAAGCTAATAAATTTAAGCTTCATAGGGTCTTCTCGTCTTATTTTATTATTCCTGCCTCTTCACGGAAAGGTCAGTTTCACTGATTGGAAGTAAGAGGCAGTTGAATCCTTGTGAAGTCATTCATTCCAGTCCCCAATTAAGGAACAAGTGATTTTGCTACCTTTGCACTTTTTAATGTTTGTCACTGGGCAGGCAGTGACTCTAATATTTTTTATCCTAGAGTGATGTTTTGGTAAACAGGCGGGATTCTTATTTGCTGAGTTCCTTTTACTTCTTTTAATCTTTCCTCATGGTATGCCTGTTTTGCATTAACAATTTGTGTGCAGGTGTTTTTTATTAGGAGTATTTTCACCTGGAGTGTTAACTAACAGTGGTTATCCTGGTTTTTATAGGCTTGTGCTTGGAGAACAGTGTTCTTGTTACTCATGTTAACAGCATTTCACCTATATAATTATAGACTAACCCAATTAGTATTTATAGGAAGTCATTATGATTTATGTTATTAAGATGTTATAGTGTTTTTTAAATTTTATTTTTTATTACTTTATTAAAGATTGCTGCCTCCTCCCCGCCCCCGCCTCCCATTTCCCTCCCCCTCCCCCAATCAACTCCCTCTCCCTCCTCAACCCTAAGAGCAGTCAGGGTTCCCTGTCCTGTGGAAAGTCCAAGGACCACTCACCTCCTTCCAGGTGTAGAAAGGTGAGCATCCAAACATCCTAGGTTCCCACAAAGCCAGTACGTGCAGTAGGATCAAAACCCGGTACCATTGTTCTTGACTTCTCAGTAGTCCTCATTGACCACTATGTTCAGCGAGTCTGGTTTTGTCCCATGTTTTTTCAGACCCAATCCAGCTGGCCTTGGTGAGTTCCCGATAGAACATCCCCATTGTCTCAGTGTGTGGGTGCACCCCTCGCAGTCCTGAGTTCCTTGCTCGTGCTCTCTCTCTCCTTCTGCTCCTGATTTGGATCTTGGGATTTCAGTCCGGTGCTCCAATGTGGGACTCTGTCTCTGTCTCCTTTCATCTCCTGATGAAGGTTAATATCCAGGAGGATGACTATATGTTTTTCTTTGGGTTCACCTTCTTATTTAGCTTCTCTAGGATCATGAATTAAAGGCTCAATGTCCTTTATTTATGACTAGAAACCAAATATGAGTGAGTACATCCCATGTTCCTCTTTTTGGGTCTGGATTACCTCACTCAGGATAGTGTTTTCTATTTCCGTCCATTTGCTTGCAAAATTCAAGAAGTCCTTGTTTTTTACTGCTGAGTAGTACTCTAATATGTATATATTCCATACTTTCTTCATCCACTCTTCCATTGAAGGGCATCTAGGTTGTTTCCAGGTTCTGGCTGTGCTTTAAACCTTTCTTTATTGGTGGTTGCCTTTAGGCCAACAATGGTCTGAGAATTAAGGTTTATTCACTATAAAAGTTTGTTTCTATTCCCGAAGAGCTGTCCCTCTTGAGGCTAAAATTTAAGATTACATTTTGATTTCTTATGGTAATCTTAAAGTTGAACTGAAATTCTTTATTGGGTAAATAACTAACACCAAGCTCGGTAGGCTTTTCACCTCTACCAAGGAGTCATCCCACTATTTTGCTACATAGACGGGTTAGTTCTTTATATTGCTCATAGGTAGATCATTTAGTTTCAGGGTGTCTAGCTTAAGATCTCTTAGAGGTTTTCTAGTTACCCCATTATGCAAAAGGTACAAGGTTTAATCTTTGCTTATTTTTACTTTTAATTGATCTTTCATCTTTCCCTTGTGGTACAGTCTTTATAGCTCCTAGGCTAGCTTTCTTTCTCCAATACTCGCTTTTTCCAAAAGTTTTGTTTTATTGTCATTTATAGTTGAATTAGGTATATATCAGGGCTAGGTTTATTTCATAGTGTCCATTTGTTGTGGAGTCTTCTGGATGTAGACCAGATGTTTGCTAGGGTTAAGCTACACCATGATTATTCCAAGCACACTTTCCAGTATGCTTACCTTGTTACAACTTATCTCCTCTTGTAAATTGTCGATATCTTTTTTAGTTTGAGGAGGGTGACGGGCTGTGTATGCATATTTCATTGCTTAATTCAATTAAGCTCTCTATTCTTAATTTAATACTAAATCCTCCTTTTTCCTTTAGTTTCATAATGTTCTTAATAAGAATATGTAGCCAATTATTTCCCACCTCATTGGCTACACCTTGACCTAATGTTTTTATGGTGATTCTCTTGCTTACTTTTGTTCCTTTTTAGGGTTTGCTGAAGATGGCGGTATATAGGCTGGATTAGCAAGGGGAGGTGAGGTATAGTGGGGTTTATCGATTATATAACAGGCTCCTTTAGATAGATATAAAGTACTGCCAAGTCCTTTAAGTTTTAAGTTGTGGCCAGTAGTTCTCAGGCAAATATTTTTGTTTGATTATTATTAAAGTTTAGGGCTAAGCATAGTGGGATATCTAATCCCAGTTTGGATCTTAGCTATCGTGTATCAAGTGCGTTAGAATTACTTTTGACATTGATTCTTGGTCCAGTGATGAATTTTCCCATATTGAATGGATTTTAATTCTATTTTTCAGTCTTCTAGTAACACATTTTACGCCAAGAATAATTAGTTTGGGTTAATCGTATGACTGTGGTGGCTGGCACAAAATTTACCAACCCTTAAAGAGACATGGCTTAGTCAAACTTTCATTTATTGCTTAATTTTTATCACTGCTGAATCCTGTGGAGGCATGGCTAGGCAAGGCGTCTTTATCTATATTATATACTTGATGCCCTCTCCTTGGAGTTTAATAAACTCTGTGGGATTTGTCACTGGTTTAGAGAGATTTGCATGTGTAATTTTGCCTCCAATTAATTATATGGCCAGGACTAAACCTTTTCTTAAAGATAAACAATTATATTTTTATTTATTATAAGGGGAAATCTCACAAAACTGGAACAAGAAGTTCAAGCTCAGCTGTGCAGCGAGGGAACCAGAGAGAGAGAGCACACCTAGGCTGGGCACCCGTTTTTCTCCGGGTCCCAGAAAGCCATACCCTAACTTGGTCACACCTCTTGAAAATAATTGGTTAACAAAGCTTCCTCATCAACTGGAGATCATATTATTCTTTCCATTTCCCAAATTTTCCCCAATCAATTAGGAAGAAAGAACTATCATAGATTAGTACTCTAACTCTCTGAAAATAATACCACAACCAAATCTTCTAGCATTATCAAATGGACCAAATGAGAAGATACATGTACCTGGAAGTAAAATATACTGCTGTACTTGTTTATGTATCTATAGAAACATACAAAAGAAACCTGATCATACGGGACCAAACCTTTTATGTTTATGGGATGCTTGCATCCATCTAAGCATTTTCAGTGCTTTGCTTTCTATAAGCTCCATTAACAAAAGTCAATACTGAAATTCCACTTAAAAATTTGGGGACTTTGAGTTGTTTTTTGGTATTAAAAATTTTATTGAAAATTTTTGCAAATACTAAATTTCAGGTTATGTTTGGTGGATTACTAGAATGGCTAAGAGGACCTGTTTTCTAGTCCCTTGCTTTTGGGGTTTGATAAGGATAAGCAATTTCAGGTAAGGGGGGAAAGAGGGGATTGGGCTGAGATAGCTTTTTAGTATAGTTGGAGTTGTATGTCTAACAAACACGGAAAGTAGGTCCGTGGGGGCCTGGTGGAGCAACATAGCATTTGCACAGTTAGTAGGGAGTATTATTTTAATGACAAGCACTGGCATTTAACATGTGAATTTATCCTGATTCTGCTAATTATTAAGCTGAAGAGTTTTGCATTGTTTCATAAGCCAGTTCAACAATATATTTGGGAATAATTTCATCTTGAATAAAATGTTTTATTATTTAATTTCTATTGATATCATTTTGTATTCCATCACTGTTTTTGCAATAGATACAAAGCAGTTGTTTCCATTCATAACCAACACATTTGTACAGATTTTGAATTAGTTGAAACTTTGCTAGTGTGAAAACAACAATCTGCACAGTAATGGAATAATTTCTGTTCCTCTTAGTCATCAAGTACTATAGTACATTTTTGGCCTGCTTATCAGGAAGACTGATCAAAATTGCATGTCCATTTCACAGGTGATGGAAATCAAAGGACAAATGATCCATGTCCCAGAATCAAATGCCATTTTGTTTTTGGGCTCTCCATGTGTGGACAAGTTGGATGAACTCATGGGCCGAGGACTACATCTCTCAGACATTCCTATTCATGATGCTACCCGAGATGTCATTTTAGTAGGAGAGCAAGCAAAGGCCCAGGATGGGTTGAAGAAGAGGATGGATAAATTAAAGGCCACCTTAGAAAGAACTCACCAGGCCCTGGAAGAAGAGAAGAAGAAGACAGTGGATCTGCTGTACTCCATTTTTCCTGGTGACGTAGCCCAGCAATTGTGGCAAGGACAGCAAGTGCAGGCCAGAAAGTTTGATGATGTCACCATGCTTTTCTCAGACATTGTGGGTTTCACAGCCATATGTGCCCAGTGTACTCCCATGCAGGTGATCAGCATGCTCAATGAACTTTACACCAGATTTGATCACCAGTGTGGATTTTTGGATATTTACAAGGTAGTGAAAATGAGTTATTTCTATATAAATTCTGTTTAATAACAAAGTCTCAACTCATAAGAATATATACTAGCTTAAATTTATAAATTAATTGAATATATAGTATATACATTTGACATATGCATTATATATATGAAGAAAGAAATCGTTATATACAATACAATATACATTTTTCAATCCATGTTTTCTAGACTTAGCAAAATTTCATAATTTCATGTTACAGCATTGGCTTCAACAACACTGAAATTTAAGAAAAACAGTTCTTCATAGCAGCTTCTCAATATTCAGTAATATTAAATAATTAAACTTATGAAACCAGGCAAATTTGAACCCATAATTAGTTTTTGCATAAAGCGTGGGACTCTAATATCTATTAAGAATTTTTATTTTGATGGCTAAAAAAATAACAAGTGATATTAAAATATGAACTGAATTATTTAACTTTGGATAATTAGCATTTTCACAGTGTCAATGAAGTGATATCCTTTAATTCTTAAAGAATATGTTTAAGTATTTTCCATGTGGTCAATAGTTCTAAATTAGAAGCACCTTAATGGTTTCTTCTTTGAAATAAAACAACCACCAGTTATTGATTTAGCTTTGGCCAACTCTGTCTAAACTTCTTTTCAAAATTGTAGCCATACCTCCAGAAGTTCAGCTTCTACCTACTTATTATATAAAAGGTTTGCATAGATTTTTCACATAGGTTATGCAATGTCAGAGTGCAGGCCTTTTTTATGTGAAGGGCAGGCAGCAAGGACATTTAATTTAAGCATATAATGAATGGCAGGGCTTAAATGTACTCATTTAAGCAGCATATAAACAGATTTGGAAAGAACTTACTTGTTTTGTTGTTGTCTAGAATTTTGATTCAGGAAGTAATCTCATTTAGACGTGTCTCCTTGGAAAAGTGAGACTACATAGAACATTATCCAGAACATACAGCAGATGCTCACTTACCCTGTGAGTGGTAAGCATTCTGTATAAAAGATGGAGTGAAATATTCCTCGTTATATAAAATAAGAGTTTTACAAATTGCCTTTGTAGTTTATTATTGCATAACTTGTTTTAGAGGTAGCCCAATATTTGGTTCTAAGATAAATCAACACCCAACCCTACTGCTCTTATACCCTGATATTTCCCAAAAGAGAATAAATCAGCTCAAATTTGCCTGTACTTTCTTCCTTCATATTTCATCCTTCATATTATTGCAATCGCTAATCTTGTTTTTGGTTGTTTTGTTTTATTTAAATCATTGGATTTCAGTATTAGCCTCCTCCAGCTTGCATTTTTTTAAAAAATCTTTTTAGTTTATATAATTAAGGGAAAAATATAGATAAATTGATTCACTTTAAAAAACAAATGCAAATCTATAGTTTAAATAAAATATAAGGAAAATATAAGGGAGGCTTTGAAGAGAAATAAAGTAAATGAGATGCTTTCTGTGGATAGCAAAACAGTTTCAAAGCATAAAAATAAAACTAGCTTTCATAGCCTGGCGGTGGTGGCGCACACCTTTAATCCCAGCACTTGGGAGGCAGAGCCAGGCAGATCTCTGTGAGTTCGGGCCAGCCTGGTCTACAAGAGCTAGTTCCAGGACAGGAACCAAAAGCTATGGAGAAACCCTGTCTCGAAAAATCAAAAATCAAAAAAAAAAACCCCCAAAAACTAGCTTTCATAGACATCTCCTGTCTCTTCCCCTGAGAAAAGTTTGGATACCTCAAAGGAAAATAATACTTTCAAAATATCATACACCATCTTCAAATTTTCCTGTATGTTATTGAACCAAGGAAACATTCCTATAGACCTAAAAAACTACCTGTAAGTTTTAACGTGCTAATTGATTTTCTCAATTTAATATTTACATATCTATTTCTCATGTATATGTGTAAAAATATTTTAAGTTAAACAGATAGATTTCAAACTCTACATTTTCTTAAAGTAAACCTGCTATTAAATTTAAGTAAAGAAATATGAATAGACATAATTCCAAGGCCATTTTTTTTAACATATTCAATGCTAAGGTTATGTGGATCTGCAATAGGTAGATGGAACAGCTTTGGGTGTTTACTTGGCTTAAAAGAGATGGTTTTTTGCAAGTGAGATGCAATGTGTGCTGAAGTCACAGTGATGATGAGGATGGAGAAAGGGAAAGATGAGTCTTAGATGGCCAAGCAGTAAAGTGCTTGTTTATCAAACATTAGGTTCTGACTTCAGGTTCACAGAAACTACACAATAGTCAGGCATGATGGTATGCGTCTGTAACCCTGGTGCTCAGAGAGCAGAGACAGATGGATCCTGGTGGGCAACTTCACTGGCCAGATAGGCCAACTGAAACAGGATGTTCTGACATTGTTGAGAAAGTCTTTCTCAAAATATTAAGGCAGGGAATGAGAAAGGAAGATACTTGACGTTAACCTCTGAAACTCACAAATGCATGTGCATGGAAGTGACTGCTTATACACACATACACAGACACTATTTCTAATGAGAGAAGGAAATTAATAGGATAAATAGAAGTACAGTGTAAGAAATAAATTAGAAAGAATGTAAATGGGCCATCCTTTCACTGACCTGTCTGTGCTCATGAAATCATTCAAGGTTATTTTTAAGCATATTTGTATTATGTTGATATATGCTCTAGACTAATTACTGTAACGCGTTGTGATTTTTTTGATTCCTATATCATAAATCACTTACATATTTTAATTACTATTGAAAAAATATATTCCAGAAGTCATTTTTAAGCAGCCCTGTTGATATACAAAATTTAAAATCATTATATTTAAAGTATTGTAAGTTTTGAATAGAATAATCATGCCCCAGAGAAAAAGATGCAAGTCACATTTATATTGTAAAGCAGATAAAATGGAATGAAAATATAAAACAAACTAGAAGGAGTATCTCAAGATCACATACAAAATTTTCTATTACACAGTGAGACCCAAGTCTTTAAACATGTGGCTGAAAAAAAAAAAAAAAACAATGTGGCTGCCCACCTTACATTTTAGTGTTTCGCTATCATTACAGAGAAGCAGTGATGAACTATTATTAGAGTGGAAGAATTAAGCAAATATAGGCAATAATAAGAAGGTTCTTCTAAAATAATTCAGCCCTCTACAAAGTGGGGAATGTGGGAAGAAGCTGTAGATTATACTGAACACATTTCAAGCCATTTAAAAGTTAAAGGCATAGGGCTTAACAGCCAAGATGATATAGATGTGTGAATACTAAGGAAGACCTGGGTAATTTGGAGGAAACACATGTTGTAATTTTGATTCTTTTGTAATTAGAAGGACAGGTATATTGAGTAACATCAATAATGTACTATCTTTCATTGTTACATTTGATAGTGAGTAGAAAGCAAACAATAAAGTACCAATAATTCTAACTTATGAAATTAATGTCTTTTGACAATAGAGGAAACAATAGGAATAATTGTAGGGGCTTTAGTGAGTGACACTACATTGTAGCTTTTACTTCTCTGTTTTGGCTTTGGCAACAAATTTGGTATGAGATAAGAAAGAAGCTGAGAGGAAGCTGGATCCTGCCACTCAACCAGATATCTATTCTTCATCTTCTTTTTATTTCTTTTTTCTTTCCTTTTAAGTTTTTCAAGACAGGGTTTCTCTGTCCTGGAACTAGCTGTAGACCAGGGTGGTCTTGTACTCAATCTCATAAAGATCCACTTGCCTCTGCCTCCCAAGTGCAGAAGTGTTACCTTTACCCCACAACCTCTCCAGCATAAGTTGTCATCAGTGTTTTTGATCTTGGCCATTCTTACAAGTGTAAGACGGAATCTCAGAGTTGTTTTGATTTACATTTCTCTGATGACTAAGGATGTTGAACATTTTCTTAAGTGTCTTTCAGCCATTTTAGTTTCCTCTATTGAGAGTTCTCTGTTTAGGTATGTACTCCATTTTTTATTGGATTATTTGTTATTTTTATGACCAATTTATTGAGTTCTTTGTATACATTTTTGTCACATCTGGGAGTCTTTCAGAGTGCCTGTAAGGACTCCTGGAGAATGGCTGTAGGTGTAGAAGCTTTAGCCTTGTTGATGGAGGGGAAGAAGTCCCAAGGATTTCTCTCCTCCACTCAATCCTCCAACATGAATGAATCTCTAAATTTAAATGTGAAATAATTGTTGCTTTAGGGTGGTAGATTTTGAGATCACATTACCACCTCACGACGTTTTAACCAAGTCTATGTAATCAACAGTATTTAAAGCTCAGTTGGGCCGGGCGGTGGTGGCGCACGCCTTTAATCCCAGCACTTGGGAGGCAGAGGCAGGCGGATCTCTGTGAGTTCGAGACCAGCCTGGTCTACAAGAGCTAGTTCCAGGACAGGCTCCAAAACCACAGAGAAACCCTGTCTCGAAAAACCAAAAAAAAAAAAAAAAAAAAGCTCAGTTGGCACACACCCCTTTGTGTTTAGTATTTATAAATAATTGCAAGAGTTTTGTGTCTTAATATGTAATATAAATATAACATATAATATAAGTAAATAATATACAATTTTATTTTTGAGCTTTAAAAATTTTATGTATATGAAAGTTTTGCTTGCATGGATGTCTGCAGTTGCATATAGTATCTGCAGAAACCAAAATAGAATACCAGGACATCTAGTACTAAAGTTACAGTTGGATATGAACCACCATATGAGTACTGGAGACTGAACTCAGTTTCTATGGTAGAGTAGTCGGTGCTCTTAACCATGGAAAAATCTCTCCATTCCTGACATGGTATATTTTTATGCCCAGTTATTTATTAATCTTGTGATAGCAACTATCATAATTTCTGATATTTGGAAACCAAATGTTTTCAAATATTTATATAATATTATGTGTGTATCTTAATATGAATTACATGAACTTATGTATATTCTTTACATATTTGTTAATTTTGCCCTTTCTGTTCTATAATGTGTTTTATACAGTATATCAACTGGTAACATCAACTCACTTCATTCTCTCCTAAAGATAAGATGCCTATGTCATTAATCTTTATCAGTCTTTGTGTGTTTGTATGTGTGTGCATGTGTGTGTATGTGTCTGTGTATGTGTGTGTGTGAGAGAGAGAGAGAGAGAGACAGAGACAGAGAGTTTGTGTGCTTATACACAGCTGGAAAGGTTTATGTGCACGTTACAGTCTTGGATACTAATCCTGAGGGGTGATCCATCTTCATTTCAAAGAGTGTCTCTCATTGGTCTTGGAATCATAGACTTGGGTTAGCTAGCTGTTTATGAAGATTCAAATATCTTCACCCCAGCACCAAGATTATAAAAACACATCATCGCACCTATATTTTTATGGGTATTCCCAGGAGTTCACTGGTTCTCATGCATTCTATTGACTGAGTGTTTAGCAAGCACTCTCTATGGGTTATAAAATCTGGTGGTACAAATTATGAAAATGTATATGAAAATAGAATGAAAAGTCCATTTTTTTCTTGAAATTGGGTGAAAATATTGAATGTGATGATAACATAAATTCTAAGAAGTTGTGAACCAAGACGACATATGTTCAAACCATACACAATGTCATATAATTCATACTAATAAATTACCCTCTTTTAATTTTGACTTCTGAAAAAAAGTACAAGGTAATTTCAAGTTGCATAGCTGACAACCTTCTGAAATTTAATGACATGTAGAAATAAAAAGGACCAGGGCTGTGAAGAGAGCTCACTAGATCACAGTACTTGCTGGACAAGGATCCAAGTTTGGATTTGTAGAACCCATTGAAAGCTGGAAAGAGGAGACTACATCTAAACTCAAGTAGGGTGAACTATTGATGATCTCACAACAAAACTTTGGAAATTAGGGGCATTGAATATTGGTTTAATATTTTAAACAATTAAAAAACAATGGCCAATTAGAATGCATTCCGACAATAGAATTATATTAGGGCCAGAGAGTACTTTAATAGGGACTAGTAACTATTCATGTCATTGTGTAATTATGACTTTTTTGCCATCCTGTTTTACATTTCTCAGATCAAATATAATGATTTTTACACGTTTCTTTTATTTAATATTGGATATTATATAAAAAGTGCTTAACATGATTAATGGTATGAAGTATGATTTTACTAAATTTAACTATTATAATTATTAAGAATATCTTAAACCAGATCTGACATCAAATTACAGATGAATGGAATGTAGAATTCTGAGGCAACATGAAAGGTAGGAAAGTTGAAGATAAGAAACAAAAGCTTTCCAAAAGATGATTGAAAGTTGAAAAAGATACAAGGATGCCTATTGAGAAAGTTATCATTTGGGAACCATATAGGTAAAATACTGGCAATTCTCTTTTGGAGGAATAATATTCCAGTCATTCCTAATGTCGGTGATCATCTATGGTGATAATGAACAACCTGGAGTGATATGTTAGGATTTTTTCATAGCTGTTTGCAATGAAAGGATTACAATCAATTGTCTAATTGCTTCATTAATTGATGCTTACTTGACATGTTTCTCAGCAGCATTTGTGATTGCTGATAACTAGTCATTTCTCTTCTGATTCATTATGTTTGCATTTGATTTGTCTGATTGCTGCAGGTGGAAACAATAGGGGATGCATACTGTGTTGCAGCAGGGCTGCATAGAAAAAGCCTATGCCATGCCAAACCTATTGCTCTGATGGCCTTAAAGATGATGGAACTTTCAGAAGAGGTTCTGACTCCTGATGGAAGACCCATTCAGGTAACCTCAACAAGCTAATGTAAAAAACAAATGAACCTTTTAATGAACTTTTGCTAGAAGGTAGGACTAAGAAATTCCCTTCTGGATTATACTTGCTACAGTTGATAAATCTAAACAAGGTAGGGATGATAAGTGCTAACTATTGGTCCAGGGACACCCAAATAGGAAAGGAATGTGGAAGGCAAATTACCATGAACTGAAGAAAGAATGAAAGGATTTGACCAAGGAGAAGACATTAACATCAGTGGGTAAGTTGCTCCATCCAAGTGAGGTTGGTGGGGAAAATGAGAATCTGAGCTCAAACCCCAATATACAAGACATAAGAACAGTTAATGAGGCTCTAGGACTCAGAAATCTGTGATTTTTTGGTGTGTGTGTGTGTGTGTGTGTGTGTGTGTGTGTGTGTGTGTGTGTAAATTGCTACTTAGAGCCACTTACCAAATAAACTTGAAAAACAGCAGCAGACCTACCACCTGGTTATTGCAATTGTATTAGTAGCATTATTGTCTTGCATAAATGGCTCTCTGTAATCTATAGTCTATCTCTGATAATGCCTGAGTTAATCCAGTTGCCTTTCTGCCAATGCCTAAAGAATAATCCCAGAATTGCTATTACCGTAATTTTTTTTTTAACAGATCCCTCACACTGAGAGAAGTGCCTTGAACTCAAGGGAGAACTTTTACTTTTATAAAAGTTCCCTAATCTTGGGTTCCAAAAAAAATGGAGGGAAAGGATGCTCACATCTCTGTTCCTTTCTAGTTCCTATGTGATGTCAAATTAATGACCCAAAAACTTTACATTTAAAATTAATGTTATTGAAAATTTCCATTTTCTTCCCTCCTCCCACTTCCCTCCCCTCCCCCCACTCCCTCTTCCCCTTCCTCTCCAGTCCAAAGAGCAGTCAGCATTCCCTACCCTATAAGAAGTCCAAGGTCCTCCCTGTTTCTCCCAGGTCCAGGAAGGTGAGCATCCAAACAGACTAGTCTCCCACAAGGCCAGTCCATGCAGTAGGATCAAAACCCAGCGCCATTGTCCTTGGCTTCTCCTTCAGCCTCCACCATCAGCCACATTCAGAGAGTTTGGTTTGATCACATGCTCCATCATTTCCAGTCCAACTGGCCGTGGTGATCTCCCATTAGATCAGTCCCGCCATCTCAGTGGGTGGATGCACCCCTCGCAGTCCTGACTTCCTTCATTAATCAATATTATTTCATCACTATTTATTTCATCACTACAGGGAAAATAAACTACAGAACAGCAAACTCAGCTCTACTGCAAACTACCACACACCAATATTTTCAACCCTATTAACCTGGCAATCTTACTTATTTCTGTAGATTTTTGTTGTATATTGAGTTTTCTCTGATAGAGGATTTAATACTTAAAATTGATTCTTAGTAGCATTACAACAAACTCTGATTACCAGAACCAGGGCATTGCATTATACAGGGTGCTTGTTAATGTTTCCATTTGTGGGTTGTAATATTTACTCCATTTCATGAATTAGTGAGTCCTATTAAATCAGAAGAGGAAATGTTCATAAAGATTTAAGAATGGAGAAATAAAAATGAAAATAGTAAAACCACCTTAACAATTTCAGACTTATGCTAATTTATAGTGTTTTCATAGATAGGGATCCTTTTTTGAATTATGAATTAATTATGAATTTGGTTTTTAAATGTGTTCAAGCTCAATACCAGGGGCACACCTTCAAGTATATGAAAAAATTTCATTATGAAAGGTTGGATATTGCAGCAGAGCTATTAAATGGCCTGCTGTTTGTTTATCTTGAATTAAATGAGATTTGTATGCTCTGCTGTCTATGTTGCAATAATTATACAAAGGAGAGCTTGCCAAGTCTTTTATCTTTTGAATAATAAAGTAACAGTTTTTTATAGGTCTAAGAGATATCTTATAATGATGGCTCCCCCAGCTCCTTCCTTTGTCTTCTCCACCTTCCTACCCACCCAACTTAATGTTCTCAATAAATAAATACATAAATAATAATCAGGTAAAATTACAAAATAGAAAAAACAGAAGAAAATTAGTAACACACACCATTTGCAATCATATGCATACACACAAGAAATTTGTTTTGTGTTGGGTGACTACGCCTGAACATAGGGCCTGCCCTGGAACGTGATTTATGTGCCCAGTGACACTCCATTGTAAAAAACTAGTTTCCCCTTTCCTAGCAGGTATTAATTGCAAACAACTCCCTATTTATAAGTGGAAATTTGTGCCCACTTTACCTTCTTACTGATGGAATTTTGTCTGGATTGAACCTGTGCACATTTTCTGAGCATTTTCAAAGTCTCATGTGTGTATCAATTCTGCTTGTTCTAGAAGATGCTGTTTCTTTGGAGACAACCACTACCTCTGACTCTTTTTCTAAATTTATTGTTATTGCTTAATAAATAATACCTTTCAAAATTTCCACTTCCCACCTCATCCCATTTCCATCCCGCTCGCCCTCTCCCCTCCCCCCTTCCCTTCCAGTCCTAAGAGCGGGCAGGGTACCCTGCCCTAGGGAAGTCCAAGGCCCTCCCCCCTCCATCCAGGCTTAGGAAGGTATGCATCCAAAGAGACTAGGATCCCCAAAAGTCAGTACATGCAGTAGAGACAAATCCCAGTGCCATTATCATTGGCTTCTCAGTCTGCGCCAATTGTCAGCCACATTCAGAGTCCAGTTTGATCCCAGGCTCCTTTAGTCCCAGTCCTGCTGGCTTTGGTGAGCTCCCATTAGATCAGGTACACTATCTCGGTTGGTGGAACAACCCCTCGCGGTTCTGACCTCGTTGCTCATCTTCTCCCTCCTTCCACCCTTCAACTGGACCTTGGGAGCTCAGTCTAGTGCTCCGATATGGGTCTCTGTCTCTGTCTCCTTAAGTTTCTATGGTGATATTCAAGATACTCATCAGTCTGACTATGGGACAAAGCTAGTTGAGGTACCCTTTCCTCTCCTGCCCAGGGTCCTAGCTGGGGACATCCCTGTGGTTACCTGGGAGCCCCTCTAGAACCAAACTTCTTGCCAACCCCAAAATGGCTCCCTTAATTAAGATATCTTTTTCCGTGCTCTCATATCCGTCCTTCCTCCATCTCAACCATCCCAATCACAGCTCTCCCCAACCCTCCCCTTCTCCCTTCTCTCTCCCTCTCTGCTCTTTCCCCCACCCTACACCAACCCCATGCTCCCAACTTTTACCTGGCGATCTTGTCTGCTTTCACTTTCCAGGAGGATCTATATAAGTTTTTCTTTGAGTTCACCTTATTGCTTAGCATTTCTAGGATTGCAAACTATAGGTTCAATGTCCCTTGTTTATGGCTAGAATCCACTAATGAGTGAGGACATACCATATTAATATTTTTGCGTCTGGGTGATCTCACTAAGTATAGTGTTTTCTATTTCCATCCATTTGCATGCAAAATTCAAGATGTAAAAAATAATCAACTTTATATGGAAAAACAAAAAAATCCCAGGATAGTCAAAACAATCCTATTCCGTAACAGAACTTCCAGAGGCATTAACATCCCTGATATCAAACTCTATTACAGAGCTACAGTAATGAAAACAGCTTTGAATTGACATAAAAACAGAGATATTGATCAATGGAATCAAATCGAAGACTTGGATATTCATCCACAAACCTACGAACACCTGATTTTTGACAAAGAAGCTAAATTTATACAATGGAAGAAAGAAAGCATCTTTAACAAATGGTGCTGGCATAATTGGTTGTCAACTTGTAGAAGAATGAAAATAGACACATCTATCACCATGCACAAAACTCAAGTCCAAATGGATTAAAGACCTCAATATAAATCTGATAACATTGAACCTGATAGGAGAGAAAGTGGGAAGTAGTCTGTAATACATGGGCACAGGAGACTACTTCCTACGTATAATCCCAGTAGTACAGACAATAAGAGCAACAATGAATAAATGGGACCTCCTGAGACTGAGAAGCTTCTGTAAAGCAAAGGACACTGTCATTAAGACAAAAAGACAACTTACTGAATGGGAGCAGATCTTCACCAACCCTACATCAGACAAAGGTCTGATCTCCAAAATATATAAAGAACTCAAGAAATTAGACATTAAAATTATAAATAACCCAATTAAAAAATGGGGTACTGAACTGAACAGAGAATTCTCAACAGAAGAATTTCAAATGTCCAAAAGATACTTAAGGACATGTTCAACTTCCTTAGCTATCAGTGAAATGCAAATAAAAACAACTTTGAGATACGATCTTACACCTGTGAGAATGGCTAAAATCAAAAATACCGATGATAGCCTTTGCTGGAGAGGATATGGAGTAAGGGTACACTCATCCATTGCACTTAGGAGATACACCCAGAGTGTCAGACCCAGCATAGATTGGACCAAGACACCAAGACTCCCCTGGCTGCATTTGAAGGAAGAGATGGGCAGGCACCAAAGCAAGAATTCCTCCAACAACCTTAAAGGAAACATGACAACATCAGAGTCCAGGGATCGCACAACAAGAAAACTTGAACACCCTATTCCAGAAGAAGTAGAAGAAATCAACTTTAAACATAACATTATGAAATATATAGGGGACCTTAAACAGGATGTGAAAAACTGCTTTAAGAAATGAAGACAAACAATAAGGTAGAAGAAATGAATAAATCTCTTAAAGATATCCAAAAAAAACCAAGAAAAGAAATCAAACAGGTAATGGAAAAAGTTCAAGACTTGAAAAATGAAATGGAGGTAATGAAGAGAGAACAAACCGAGGGAAGGCAGGGTATGGAAAATCTGGGTAAACAAACAGGAACTACAGAGACAAGATTAACCAACAGAATACAAGAGCTAGAAGAAAGAATCTCAGACACTGAAGATATAATAGAGGAAATAAACTCATTGATTAAAGACCAAAACAAATCCAACGAATTCTTAACACAAAACATCCAGGAAATCTGGGACACCGTGAAAAGACCAAATCTAAGAATAATAGGGGTATAAGAAGGCCCAG